CCCCAACTCGCAGTCCTACACCTAGCACCAGACAGGCTGTGACCAGAGGGGCTGGGCATCAGCTCTTGGGGACACACCTGGGCACTGGTGGGCAAGTTGAGCTACAGCCAGATATGCACCCAGGCAGCAATGAGAGCCAGCAGTGCAGGGGCACCATGAGCACGACAGCCAAGAGAGGCAGGGGAAGGATTACTCTTCCACTCTGTGCTCACCAACACACTTGGAATACTGCCTTGAATGCAGGAAACACCAACAAAACTGGAACACATTCATGGGAGGCTACCAAGGCAGCAAGGCTGGAGCCATTTCCTGAGAGCAAAGGCTGTGAGGCCAAACCTGGTTCATCTGTGAGATGGGATGGCTTTGGGGGGCACTCAACAGCCTCTTCTGATGACAGAACAAGCTGTCTCCTTAACCCATCCTTACACTCTTCTGTATAGGATTAAATGTATGAATAAAAAAGGTGGAGCTCAAAGCAGAATATCATCAGTAATGAAGGAAACTCACTTGTACTCCAGAGTGGTGTCAAAGCAGCAGTTTTCCAGTGCATCCAGGGACTTCATTAGAACCAAGTTCATCTGTTGACCAGGCACATCACTATAAAACCAAAACAAAACAGAAACTAAAAAATCCAGAACTCAGCTCTGCTCTTTAAATCATACAGGATATTAAATATCTTGCTAAGATCGAATGTGCCAGTAAACAGAGTTTTGGTGTTTTTTTTTTTTTTTCTTTTGTAACAGGTTCTTATACTAGTCTGTAAGTAATAACTGTATGACTGGTTATTTTTGTCTTGTTCATGTCAACACTCACATACAAATAATAAAAACCTGTTCAGACCTTAGCATCCGGGATCTAAAAAACACACCTGACAGTATGTGTAAAAGAATGGCAGAACATAATCTCAGCTGAGCCTGTAAAAACTTCTAAGCTGAAAATTCACAATACTTTAAGACATGACCTCAGTTAATCTCTCACTCCACCTCTATGCCTAACTTACTGATAAAAAAGGAGGCATTTACATTTCACTTCAAAGACATGGTAACTCCTCTTACAAAATGTGTAGTTTTCCTAATGAACAGTACATCTTTAATACAAACTAACTCTACAGTTTCATAGATAAATGCCTGTAAGCTTTGCTGTTCTTGCAAATCAGTGTTCGGAAAAATGTGAATTTAAGCTTTGAAATTATGCAGGACAGTGGAAGAGTAAAAACTGAGAGTCTCTAAAAATATTTTAGATACATTTATGAATTTCAACACCCCCTGCCAAAAAAAAACAAAAGCCAAAATAAAGATTCAAACACTCCAAAATAGCAAGCTGATCTAACACCGTTCTCTTTAAAATCCTTGTAATGTTTGGGTGTAGCTCAGTTGTCACCACTGTCTAACCACCCAGAGATATGACATCCCCAAATTATTTGGCTGAGTTAGAGGCAGCAAGACATCAAGACACCAAAGCACGAAGATTAGGACAGAAGAATGCTGCACAGTATTTCATTGAGGGCAGGTGTGTTGGAAACATTAGTTTCACCGAGCAAAGTGACAACTGACAGCCAAGTCTGTCTGATACCTGTGCTTGTGCTCCACTTAAACAGTTATTACAGGCATACAGAATCCCTAGTAGTCAAGAAGCCAGCACACTATAAAGCCAAAGGCACTACTTAGTTTCTCTGGAGTCACGGGAAATTTGCAACTGAGGCCAGCCCCCCTGTAAAGGAGGCATTTTCTGTCAGCTTCAGAACACTTCTCTGTTGCCCACACAGCTGTACCAGCACACCTGAACAACAGCCCATTACGCTACTTCTGTCGTAGCTCCATCCCTGCACGTGTAACTCACGTGATGTAAGCAGGGACTATCCAGTGTCCAGAGTGCCACTCAGAAAGGAACGGATGAGAACTGTGAATTATTTTACAATTAAGTCTCCTAGGGCAGCTAGTATCCTTTTAAAACACACGTGGCTCTTCTAGTTGACCGCTTTGCATATGTACCTTAGGATATTATGAAAATCAGACATCCACCCTGAAAGAATGGCAAAACGTGCAGGATAGCACTGGGAGAGATGGTTCTTGAAGACTGATAATAAAAAACACCTTTTAAGAAATGTTGCAAAGCCCCTCAAGATTTTTTTTCTTATGACTTGTAAATACTTTAATTCCTCAGAACTTAAGACCTCATTGTATGAAAAAGAAGGAACTTATTTATATATCTTCATTACACATGGTGATCCTTACCTGACTCTTTCCTCATACAAACGTGAGATAAACATCCCCAAACCAAGGCCCACGTGGATTTGGACAGCTTGAGATTCATCAGCATTAGGTTTACCAGGTAGCCTGTCAGTCAGCATGTTCAGGACCTCCCCAACCTTCTCCTTGCATGATACAATGAAAACTGGCACCAGGAGAGACAACGCAGTGGCTGCACAGGAACGAGCTATAATACTAGAAGTATTTTCACCCAAATAGGATTTCTAGAAAAAGAGAAAAGATTTTTTTCTTTCTTTTCCTCTTGGGAAAGGGAAATGAAATTCCCTTTCCCAAGAAATACTCTCAGGAGTAGCACTCAGCACTTGAGGAATTTAAAATAAATACATATACAGCAAACAGCAGCACAGATGTATTGCTATCTGTCAATAAACAGTAATCCATGGAATTGCCTGTGGTAACTTTTCCACTTGCCTTACCTTGCAAGTAGCACAAAACTAACATAATTCGGAATACAATTTCTAAATGTAAATAAGATTGTTAAGTATAAAACTGAACAAAAGACAAGAAAGGATGCAGCTAGAATTTAACAGCTAGTCTGCACAAAAATACATTTGGTCTGTTTTAGTTTTCACCCTCCTTGCTAAAATATCCAGTAGCGCCAACAGAAGAGCAGAGGAACCATGCATGATGTGTAATTATACACACCAGTGTTGAGTTGGAAAAAGGACTACCTTAAAAGCATCACACCTAGAATGACAAAGTATCCTGAGATCTTACAAACTACGCAGTAGAGATGCCTTCTAAAGGAAAGATCCTTTACAAAGGTTTTTGATTCCTTTCCATTTTAAAAGATAAAATCCATAAAGCTACCTCTACCTAAGAAGCAATAGCCTGATTGTAAGTAATTTATCAACTTCCATGTGCAACTCTGAAAAGGAAAAAAAACCCCATCAGGATGCAAGGCACTTTGCAAGACAGTGACTTGTATTGTGTGCCTGAGAATTTTACAAGCATTAAGATTTTTTGAACAGCATTATTTTCAAAAGCAGAAGTCACAGAACTTGTCAAGAACTGCCAGTGCCAACCAAGTAGCTGAATCTCCTTATAACCAACCAATCAAACATTTATTTAACACCACACTTCATTTGGTGATCTATGGCTGCCACCAGTGATGACAGGAGTCATATGCCAGAGCTCAGACAGGTCCACTATTAATTTTCAGCTTTTTGAGGCTAACATCTCACCACTGGACTAAATGCAGTCATGAATGCAGCTAACCAAGTTCAGGTTAGAAAATGTTACGATACACTATCATGCTGGTACTTGGCCTTGTAGGACCCCAGGTCCCTTTCGCATCCGTGACAGAAAGAATCTCTGACCTAGTCATTTTGACCACTGATAGTCAAGAGCTAGCAAAACCTGTTCCTTAAGGTCTATACTGAGCTTTCAGTCCATCCCCAGATCGTACTTAAGAGCTGACTCGAGAATTTCAGGCTGGTTTTCACACTGCAGGCACACAAGATAAAACTGCTGCTGACCCTCAGAGGTTCAAGAGGTAATGTAAAGTAAGAATCACTGTTGCCATAACTATAAGATTTTGAGAAAGTATGCATTTCATAGCCCCAAGTAATGGTGTCAGAATCACTCAAAAGTCTGAGGAGAGTCTTCTCATGTTAGAAGGTTTTGTTTTTGTACATACACGCCAAATACTCTAGGTTTTGAAGGCTTTCTAAAATTTTTTTTTTAGAATTTCCTTTATTCATGTATCCCCACACATGCTTTTTACCATTTTGGTGGTAAACAAAAAAAACTCAAGGCAATCCCAAGTATAAGCAGCAAACACAATGAAAGAAAAAGAACAAAAGCAAGGAAAGTTTTGATTCTCTTGTATTACGACTATTACAGGGCAAAAAGAAGCAGGAAACTCCACACTAAGAACAACAGTTATGAAATACAGATATGTTCTCTTGACTTTAACACCACAACATGTACCTGGTAGAACCATGGGAAGACTTGACCTTTTGGTTGATAGCGACTATTCACAATACTAAAGAGGGTCTCTGTGACCATAGAAATCCAGTGTTTTGTGGGAAGAAAATCAGGTTCAGTCTGAAAAAAAAAGCAAACCCAAATATTGTTATTTTTTTAAAGTCAGGTCCTACCTGAACAGAAGCTCACCAGCTGATCTTCCATCTATGATCCATCAGAAATGAGACTGTCATTCTTATGTACAGTAAGTAGCATGATATCATCATATACTTGCCAGTGCTGACCCTCCAGATACTACTTTTGATATGGCACTATCAGAGAAAAGAGGTTGGCAGGGTTTCATTGCCCACTAGGTCTATCTCTTCTGTCAAAGCTAACAAATAAATGTGTTAGTCATCATGTTTCTTGTAAGAAGGTGCCTACACACTCTGGCTGCTTTTGTGTAGATCACACAGCAGCTGACAGACAGCTTTCACTGAGCATGGTGAAACTTGAAACATGCTGTACTTCATATCCACTTGCCAGCCCCACAAACACGCAGTCGTATCACTGCCCTGCAGTCTCCTGAGAGTGGAGAACCTTTCCCAGATTGACTCACCTCAGGCATCTCTTCAGTGTTTGTGGAAAGGCTGCTTTCGTATTTGGCTACAGCAACTGCAAGACCAGTTAAGGCAAAAATAGAGTTTCCTTTCACTACTGGGCTGTCTCTGGACAGAAAAAGGCAAACAGTTAAGAAGCATAACAGAGATGCAGGCAACAAAACATGTATCTCAGTGCAGGGAAGTTTATGCTACAGTGGTGGCGGAAGGAAGGCCTCCGCACCTAGATGCTTTGTTGGGCTGTCCTCTAGCTCAGCAAAAGTCTGTCACATTTCCTCTTCAGGAATCACAGAAAGAATAGGGGAGAGAGGCATTTCAGTCTTTTTTCTTCTTTGTCTTTTATATAAAGCCTAGCACACACAAAGTTGTAGAAAACCAGAAGCGTACTCCCACTATAATGAGGACTGACACCATGCAGAGCAAGTAGCACTCACAGAAATGCACCAGTTGATCTTAGGTAGTACCATCTCTACCCAGGACAACAGAAAAATTTCTTCCAGCAGAATGCTAGACAGGCAGGCACCACCTCACTGCAACAACATCTGTTCAGAAGATTTAGCAGAGCAGCCATCACTTAATTCCTAGCTTAAAATTTTTTTTTAAATTACTCTCCTCTGCTATGAACACATGAACATCATGGAAAATTAAGAGGTTTCAAAGAGTACTGATTTCTAATACAGTGAAAAATTTTACTTTTAAGGAACTCAAGAAAAAAAAACCTGACACCTACAAACAAAAGAGAGAACATAATCATGTTTAGTTTCATGAAAAGATACATCTTGGTCATTCCCAGAAAAATATATTGCAATACTATCTTGTGGGAACTCTCTTAGTAGTACAAAAGGAGGTGAACAGTACAACTGTAGTAGATAACTTGCAGTCTTACATTAGACCAGTACACAGTGTACTACAGTTTTTCCATCAATCTTCCATTTTTAAAAAATTCCTCAACTCTTACTGTAAAAAAACACCACAGAGCAAATTTAAGCATTTGTTCAAGATCCAAAGATCTCATTTTCACAATGAAATTGTTCTAGATTTCCAGTTTGCTTTTTAAATTAAGACACAGGTCTTTGTGGAATGTCATTGACCTCTTCTGTTTGGAACACCGAAACTATTTCCTTTCAGGTAAAAGACACCTACAAATAGTTACAAGTAGGTGCTTAGTTAAGTTCTTTGAAATCTTCCCATATTTCTTAGCTTAAAAAATCTCCTAATCTATGTATAGGACACAGATTAGCTGATGATCAGCTGTTTTTGTTGATCAGCTTATACAAGGTTACATTAAATGATGTACCTCAAAAGAGAGAAACTTCTAAACCTACACACTTGTAAAAGCTGGATGCTTTAAACTTAATGAAGGTAAAAATTATCATCCTAACCAGCCCCAGGAGGAAAAAAGAGCAGTATCTTACTCTTTACTGAAAATATAGGGGAACCCCCAAGTACTTTCTTAAAAGAAATTTAGTAAGCATGAAAAGTTCTATATATATGATGTATGCACAGGATTTCCTTCTGCTGTTACCTAAAGAAAATTCACCACTCCCAAATTAGGAAATGGTTTTACCTCAGCTATTTTTGGTTTGGACTAGATGACCTTTGGAGGTCCTTTCCAACTCAAAGCATTCGATCATTCTATGACTCTACTTTCGCTAACGAACTTCTGTAACTAAACTCATAAAGTTAACTCTGAGACACAGAGTATGGGACATTTACAGTTTATTCTGTTCCTCCTTTATTTATCTACTTTACTTTCTACTCCCTTAACACAGGTATTTACTGAGTTGCTAAAATACCAAACAGATCTTCAAATTTTATCCCTCTCACTTTTCAAGATGGACTGACATGTAAGGAAATGTTGGGAATATGTTAAATATCTGAACATATATAAGTTAAAAAAAGTTCAAATATTTACAGAAAGTCTCAATTAAAATCTCCAGAATTCTCAGAATTATTTCAAATGAATCTTATATATGTTTAGAAGAATACCAAGGTTGAAACTGCTGGTGAGATTTCACTCTAATTCTTTCAGTGATGGCATCTTTTATGATTTAAGATTTTCTAAGTATATGTTCTTATGAGGATTCATCATTTCTGACAGTTTTGCTAAACTTGGTGCAGGTGGAAAACTTCAGGTTGACCAAAGGCAAAGCATAAAAGAAAGCTAGTGGTCACTGAAGAACAGAAGGAAGAAGTCAAATCACTTTAGCAGACTATATAGGAAGGCGAAGACACTGCTGCCTGAAAGCCATGTACCAATTCCAACTGCAAACGTACAAGACTGTCTGAACATGAAAACATATAAATTCCTGCTTTTGGGAGTGTCTGGGCACAAGAAAGACACCTTAACAGAAAGTGGGACAGTTTTGAAGAGCCCATACTCCACTAAAGACCAGCTAGCTTCTAGATAAATGAGATGATTTGAGGCAAATGGTCTGCTAGTGAAAAAAAGGACAGATTCTTAATGCATACAGTACTACCCAGGCTTTACTCAAAAACATGAGGCATCACCCGTTCTAATACTGTCAGTGGTAAAAATCTCACAGCACAAGGTGGGGAAGAACAGCAGTCTTGTGAAATCATGAAATGGGCACATAATCAACTGTGGAAAATATTATCTTACATCTGCTAAAAAAGAGAACTCATTCTGTAACAAATTAGCAGCTCTTACTTGGAAGCACCTTTGATGACATCAGTCAACATATCTCTGACCCTGCAATCAAAACAGAATCAATTTACACCATACTCATTATAGTATAACATGAACTCCGCTATTTCCTCTTATGCCTCACATGTCCACTCTGGCTATCTCACTACCTATCAGGACACTTAGCACAAATTCATCACAAGTATTAAATATTTAGAAGTGGCTACACATCATAAAACATTTCTTTATGTTCTTGTGTGCTACCAGTTTATAAGGGGTTCTTATTTGACTTCATACCACTTTTTGTAAAATGTAGGTTCATGCAATAGCTGTAAATCTGTTCAATGAGTTGTTATACACAAGTTTCCAGATCACTGTGCTATGCCTTAGCATAATAAAATGAGAATGTTTTATAATAGGCAACTGTAACAGTTTATCCAACACATACTATACTCCTGGAAACAACTACAGGCAGTTAGGCTGTTACGCAGTATAGTAGCCTGAATCCATTAAAATTAAACTATAGGAGTAGTTACAATTTCTTACACATTACTGTAGTTGATTAATAATAGCTTAATTCTCTGCATTTGTTTAGTTTTGCATTCACATCAAGACAGAAGCAGAGATGCAGTGAGCCTTCTATATTTCCAGGTTTGGATGCTCTGTACTACAATGTACAGTACCATCCTGGCCATGACAGTCATCCTACAGAGATATGTTCCTGTCATAGTGCCACAACATGGGACTAGAAGACTAAAAATGGATGCCTCATAAAATAAGGCCATATGTTCTAAGATTGAGTTATACTCAGACTTTAAAAGAACCTCAGGCTTTCCTTCACAACTACACTGTTCTTGCACAGTTTCAAAACCGCCTACACTAGAACAATTAGACTAGCTCGGCAAATATTAATGCAGAATTGCATAGTACTTACATAATAAGGCATCAACACTGAAATTTATATCAAGCTGCCCACAATAAGGTTAAACCCAGTAGGCAAAATAAATAAATAATGGGTACCAAAGTTAGAGTCCATGAAGCACTGAACAATTAAGGGGTAACAGTAAAATACATGAGAGCTCACACAGGGCTCCCAGTTCATTTACTGCTTTGATTTCTCTACTGTTAAAGGAAACTGTTCATTTTTTACATAGCTTACATTAATACTGTTTAGGAAATACAGATCAGAAAATAGTTCAGGAGAAAATTAAAAATGCAGTATTGCTATAGGCATTCTTCTCACCTGGAAAATGTTTCCCCTTTTTCAATAAAGGAATTGGGCAGAGCAAACCCAGGAAACTGTGCCACTACAATCTCTTCTACAATACTGTATCATTCTGGATCTCACTATGAAATCCTCTAAGCTTGACTTAGCTTGAATAGAACAACAGACATAAATTTTGTACTCTTGTTGAGTGGGACTTAGTAACACCCTTTTGACCGAAATGGGCAAAGAGCATTTTGGTTTTGTTTGTACAGACTTTGTTCCCAATGCACTTCTGAACAATCACAGAAACAAATATTTATACTGCTCATGGATCTGTAGTTTTTTCTCCATGAAGCTTCCCACTTCCTACCTTGTTAGACCATGCCTAAATCCTGACAGACTGAGAGACACTCCTCAGCTGACTGAAGTAGTTGAGGATATGGAATCAGGGTGTGAATGATGTGCTTGGTTTTAAACAACATCCTCAGGCTCAACATTGCCAACTTGCCAGATGAATCGAGGTGTGTCTCAGTTCACTATGACATGTATCCTACCATGGCTTATATTTCTTTTATCAAGCTATTTTTCAGTGAGACAGTTCACTTAATATCTACAGCTAAGTCTTTGCATAATCCTTCTGCTTTAACATGACACAAAATAAATAGTTTTCCATTCCTTCCAGCTGCTCACCCTACAAAGCTTCATACACTGTAGGGGGAAAAGTACCTGGGAACTCATGTGTGTGGGGTCCTTACAGACAGTTACCCAGCAGTCCTTTTCTTTCTGCTCCCTGCCACCTCCTTGGTCACTGTATCTGGTATTCATTAGGGTTTTTTTCCTCCATTAGTGCTAATACAGTCTTTAAACTTGCAAAACTAAACACGTTAAAGTCTTGTCCTCCAATGCTCCCTCACACGCCATTAGAAATCACCAGGGACAGACAGGCAGTTCCTTACCAGAGCCAGGCTGTAAACAATTTGTGTTGCACCTCTTCAGGATCCTCTTTTCTGTGTTTTAACTGCAACTCCAGCTCTGCCTGCCTTCCCTGTAGAATTACAGAGTTAAGTCAGAAATGGATCTTTCATGGCCGTAAATCATTAAGATTTCTACAGAAGACACTTAAGTAATAGATATAGCCATTCACTTGAGGGCTACTTCAGAAGTGAAATTGACTGCTTTTCATACGGGATTTCACTGTAATTCACAAGGCATTAAGTAAAAGAATTCATAACTTTTTATTCTGAGTGAGGAAAACCAGCTGCAGAAGGCAGAAACAGCCACAGATACACATCTCCGAGTGCAAGGAGGCACGTTTCCTTGGGAAGTGGTACAACAAGCAGGGAGTAAGAATTAGAGGCCTGCTAGCTAACATGGATTCTGACAACAAAACATCACTATCTTGATTCACTACTTAAAGCAGATTACTCATCCTTTTCCCTTCCATGCCTGCAACTTCCTTGTGACCTCCCTACAGTTCTGTTCAGACACAGGAACAGTTCTTTCTGTACGTCAAAGGAGATTATATGAATTCTGACCTCTAAAACTTGTTATATAAACATACTAAGCAGCTTTGCTTTACTGTTCTGTTTCCAGCCATAACCCAACTGCATCTCAACTTATTTAGGTTGGCAGTTACTGCTCCTTATTAAATTATTATCTTAGTAGACCTAACACAAGACACGACTTTCAGGTGTCCAAAGGGAAAAAAAAATCCTCACACAAGCGTTTTGGTGAACTGGACTCTATGAATGTCTGCCAAACTGTAGAAATCATTACTCTACTAGCTTTTCTCAGAAATACTACTCATACTGTAGTTCTTTTGGCCATCCCAGATTAAATGTATTATAGAAGCATAAGGAGTAAGCCGGCCTTCAGTAAGGAACTTCAGAAGCAACAGAAACAGGCTCTGTTGCCCTGTAAAATGGCATGAAATCCAGGACAGGATTTCAGAAATAAGTCTGGTAGATGCCAAGCTTCTCATGAGATCTTTTTTCAGAGGGAAAGCAAAATAGAAAAGTAATTAAATGCAAGCAACAATGGCCCCCTCTGCAGTTATGACCTAAAAATTACAATTTGAATAGTTGCTTCCTGCTTTGCAATGGGGCTGGCTCAGCTCAGAAACTGATAACTTTGCTGATGGCCAAGATAACATTTGTTATGAAAAATGTTAAGAGAACCACATGTTTTGCTGCACAGCAAAACAAGAAACTGTCAAAGATTCTAGAATTCCCTCAGCAACCTGAGCTGCTCATGCTGAAAACAGCTGATGAGGCCTGGAAATAAAAACAAATAAGGCCCCCTAGTAGGACAACGAGAGCCTTCTAGAAGGCAGCTATTTGTTAGGAGTTTTTAGATCATTTTCCTGTTGAAAAACCAAATGACACTCCACTGCTTGGGATATTAAGCCAGCTAACCTAATGAGAGGTTCTAAAATAATTCCTAATTGTTAGATAGGGTAGAAAAATCAAGTCAAGCTCTCTGCAGTGTGACAGCGCTACATGCTAATTAAAAGAAGTTCTATTTAATGAATCATTCCTTGATTCTATTTAATCAAATTTAATTCTAGTTCTATTTAATGAATCATTCCTCTGTCTCCTTTGTGATAAGATTATTATAAAATCTCTACCCAAAATAATAGGTTAGAACTCTAGCTAAAATTTCACATTCTAAAAATTCTAAGAATTGACATGTTCCGGAACTCAACATAGAAACAAGACTGCATGAACCCAAACTGCAAGCAGCAGTAATAATTCTACAAAGTATCCTAGGCTGCACTACCATTAATTGAAGACACATTTTAATTTCCTTTTAATAAATTTTATCATTAAATACTTCAAGCTTTGTTTTTAAATTATTGCAACTTGCATGGTTACATGTAACTTGCATGTTACAAGTAACGTGCTCTTGCTGGTAAAAGGAAAACTCACACCACCTGAATGAACAGTGCTGTGCACAGTATTATGTACGTCAAAATTACCTGCAGGACTGCACTGTAGGTTCGACTCATAAATGCCAGCCAGGACTGTGGCAGGATTATGGAGCGGTGCCATTCAGAAGGTTGAATGTTAGCCTGTGGAACACACCAGAATGGGGAGAAGCCATTACATTAAGTCTGACATATCGAGAATGTATGTTCCACAAGTTGTGAACTGCAAACAGTTATTTGCACATGCCTATAGGACATTATACACGACACATGGCTGTAGGAAACTAAGATAATAATGTACTTTGTTGTCCTCTCTGCTCATACCTATAGGGAGTTACTTTCAACTTTGTTACCAGGACGGAATTTGTTGCTTCAGGAAGTTCAATAGATAACTGATCCCAGAGACAGCAGCAGAATTCTATGTGGCAATAAGCACAACGCTTAGTAGCGCTGGTAGACAAAACTAGGTACACAACAAAGATGTCAGCACAGTTTGTTCATCATAGTTTTTGTAAACCTTAGGTGCTTCTAAAAGCTTTAAACAGACACTTAAAAGAAATACAAGTAGATGACTATCTAAATGCAGGGGAGATGATTCAAAAGGAGTTGATATCCATGACTGGCATATATGTAACTATGTTCGAGTACATAGTTCAAACTAAAATGTGAATTTATGTACTAATACATCTATACAAACAATCTAAAAGTCAACCAATAAAAAGAGATGACCTACTCCACCTCACAACCAATACAGTTACATCCTGCATAAAAAGTAGACATTTCATGTTTAAATGTCTCAATAACACTAGTCCTTCCTTTCTAGCCAAAACTTTATTCACACACCCCTCTCACTTCTGCTCATCAATTTCACCAACATATTGATAAGCAGTCATGGCTCCAGTCAGGCTCTGTCTGCCTTAGGTTCCCAGGGCAACTGCAGCAACTCCAGCCTTCCCCTTTGCATCTGCTCTGAAACTATTTCCAGCTTGTGCATTTAGATTTATCCAGTCTCACAGTGATCTGTGAAGTTCACCACGCAATCCACACTTGTGCACCAAATAGCAAATGCAGGCCTTCAAAACTCTTCAGGTGGTCATGCAGGAAATACAAACCTTAGGTGTACTGTTACATTTAAGCAACTAGACAGCATGGTCTAATCAGGGATCTATTATTGGCACCTTGCATACCTTATCTAAAATTTGCAGATGTGCTTGATTATCAACAGAACTGCTGAGCAGCTTTCGATTCATTAACTTTCCTCATGGCAGTAAGTATTTTGCAAATATGTGCAATGAGAGGCAAACAAGAGGGAGCATCTCCACGTAACAAAAACCACCCAAGTAAATTTCATCTGTCCTGAAAATGACTGGACATAGTGCTGAAGATCACTACACAAGCAGTGCTGTTACCCACTATTTCAGTGCAGGAAACTGGCAGTCTTTACTTGTCCTCTCTCACTGGATCCGTAACAATAACTACATTAAGCATTAGTTAACTAACACTAGCAAGTGTAGACACAGCTGACAATAAATTAGGTTCAGATTCTTCTGAGTGCACAATTTAGGTATAAGAAGATACTGGCCGGGTAGGAGGCGCCGGGAAGGCGGCTCAAGGGGCTTCTGAAGCAACGCTGTGTAGCTGTGAAACACTGCCACACTGGAACTGGATGACCCTAGGAGGCAGCACAGCCAGACCAGACTTCCCAGTCGCTTTCAAGGAAGAGCTGCAGCCTGATATCTGAGGCAGCAAGAAACAGCGTGAGCTAGACAGTGACCTAAGGCCGTTGGTCAATGCTTATGACAGACATGTCTCCCTGAAAAGGCACAGATCAATGGACTGTGTTGGCCAAAAGCCAAGATAGGGAATGCTGTCAAACCACAGGAGATGCTACTCTTGCACTTCTACACTTCTGAATACACATGGTCCAAGTTTTGAACACTTCTGTGTGACTGGAAAAGTAATTTCAAGCAAAATTAGAAGTTAATTCTCCTTCTCTAGTGCACTCCTAATAAAAATCAAACACCACTGCAAGATCTGGATGAGCTTTCTTTTAGCACTGGTGCCTCTGTGCTGCCACAGATCTCTCTATGTGGTCCATTCGTTTTGCACTGATGTGCAGCCAGCAGAGGGCACACCAAACAAATTCAGGAACAGCGAAAGTGATCATGTTTCTGTTGCTTCCCAGGGTAACTCACTGACACAACACTGTCCAAAGAACCTAGAAACTATTATATTGTTAATATTTATTAAAATATTAATCTACTAATCTATCCATCTTAAAATCTGCAGTACAGCAGAGAGACTGGGAATCCCAGTAAGCTCTTTAACTAATTACAACGCTTCCATCTCAACAACCGTGCCAACTCACGTGGTCCCTAAATGCAGTTCATCTCTAACAAATATGTAGCTGTGAAAATGTGTTTTAGACAATACCCCTATGTCAGTGAAATGTTTAGGCATATATTCAAATGCCCTTCTCACATATGGGACATATAAATGGCAGCCGCAGTGATTCCATAAATAAGCGACTTGCATGCGTACACTTCCAAATCTTCCCTCCTAGCAGTCCTTGATGAGAAAAAAAATAAAATTGTCTTTCTCCAATGCACATTAAACAGAGGCAAAAAGCAACAATCTGTCAACAAACTTCTTCATGAATACTGTTTCATCGTGAAAGGAAATGCATTATGTAAATTCAGTAGTGGAAACCAGCAAAAAGTAGTTCATAATTTGAACTGCATCCACTGAAATACAGCCAATTGTGTCCAAGAAAATCCAATTATCATCTTACTTGCACTTCATGTACAAAGTTTGAATAAGCCCTTGAATCTCTTGATTACATTAAAATCAAACCGGGAAAGAAATGCACAGAAGGAGCTTTCCACTTCAGTGCTGAAAGATGCATGTCACCACAGAACACCTAATGAAAACAAAATAGAAGCAGGGAATGCTTCTTCCTTGAGTATATGGCGTGCCTAAAATGACTACTATTTGTACAGCAGTATTTAGTACTCACCACTTGCACCCAATTTTGCAATTGTGCTTGTAAATACTATTAATTAAGGCAAAATAACTGTGCTATTCCCAACACAAAGAAAGCCCTTGAATAAAAAGAAACATGCAAAGGCAAGACCATCCTTTAATTTTAAAACCACTGCACCAGTTCAGACTGCCAAAGCCATCATTTACCACATCTGTGTAGCAAAAGCAGGCTGCCTCTGCTTTTTGCAAGTGGCATGAACTGTTCCCTTCACCTCCACTAAAGAAACAACAGGTAGCTGGCTGAAAGCCTAGTAACTTTAACCCAAAACATATTTACAGAACCATCAAAACATATGGTACATGATGTGAACATATGTGACTACTCATCCTCATCCATTTTCACAACAGAGGCAAGTGAAGCTGATAAGAGATTATTTTTATAAACTTCTATGTACAATTACTCTCAAAACTGAAACAATCACAGGTAATTGTTGGCTAATCTAGCCCGGGTCACTGGAATAAACCTCAAGGACTTCTTGTACAGTATGATCCAGGCAGCCATAGAGAAAACAAAGAAAACCCATGGTCTATGTGACTTCTGACCATTGTAACAACAGTAACTTACATGTCCTCTCAAAGACAAGTTAACAAGCTCTGTTTAATAATCAAAGAGCACATGCCCATTTCTGAGGGGAAGACGATCTTCCTCTTCCAAGTCAGCAGTAACTGGTAAAGAGCAATACAGCATCTCAAAGGCACCACTGTTTATTAACGTGTGTTCTGCATCCCATGAGATACCGGTTCAAGTAACACTAAAAAAAAAAGCCTTCTGCATCTTAATCTGATATTGCTGACAGGTGCGTATTTCAGCTGTATATTACAATGCCTCGCCTCGAATAGCACTTAGGAGATAAAATAAGTCTGGCCCATTAAGGCTTAACAGTAAATTACCTTTTTTCATCGTTGTTGTTACCGTTAGATTTGAGTGGCAGCTAAACTCAGGTATTTGGTATTTGTATGCTTTATATACTTTTAAACGTGCAAGAAGAAATTCTTTCCTCTGCAGACAAACTTCATGTAACTGGGTTTTTTTTTTTTTGGTAGCAGTAAAGAATCTTACAAAAAATGAAACTGGTTGCCTCAAGTCCCTCCCCATGCCTCAGCTGTCAAAAAACTAAGTGTATTAATGGCAACTAAGCATACGCAAACACAAGTAGATAGAGAATCTGTAGATTCATCTTCTAGAGATGTAAGCATAGATCAAATCATTGAAGAGATAAAAATATTATCTCAGTATGGCAACTATATTGATGACTGTTAGTCCGTAACTAAGGAAATGCCAACTGCTGGTGATTTTTAGGGCGAAAATAAATGAATACTTGCTATCTCCTAATTAGATGTAATTTCTTGGCGTTCACATGCACCTTGGAGTTTTCTTAGAGCTTTATGCCGACTGTGATGCTCTAAAGACAAATTTAAGTCTTCTTTTTAATGAAATGCTTCTTTACTTAGAAAGTCACTATAAAAGTTACAAAAATACCCCAAAATATAAAGGGAGTCAAAGCAGTGGCAAAGAATTGTCATTTTGGTATTTAAAACAAAAAATAAATAAAATGTGCTGTGTTGAACTCTGAAGCAATGGCTGCAAAACCAGCTAAATTCCTGCACCCACTGCTGGGAAAAGATAAGCCTAGATCCTACTACATTTTGTTGGATTCTGTTATATGACAGCTTTATGGCTTAAGCTCCCTGGTTTTACTGTAAAACTCTGCTCTCCAGAAGAAAACTGAGGACTGAACAAACACTAAGGCATGAAATTTGTTCAGATGAGCCCAAGGACTCAGCTCTCTTCCAGTCAAAGGACCAAATATCTTTTTCCTGATAACCTAACTCCAACTGTCTATGTACGAGAGATTAAAAGGGAAGAATAACTTTGTCTTTTAAAGCAATGTAAGCTGAGAACTGAAATACTGATATATTTTTATCAGAATTTTATAGTTATTGTGAATTTTCACTAAAAGGTGCAGTTAAGATTGAAATTGTTTTGTGTTTACGTTTATATTTCAATTGCATTGGCATTTCCTTTATTACACCTTGAATCAATTCACTTTGTCAAATACTGAGATACTTAATAAAATAGCTCTTCCTCCAGTTCACTGTTACGTATACTATATATATGTATACTATAATACTGTTATGTATTCACTAACCCAATCCAGTCCACTGCATTCAATTCAAACCCCATGCTTTGTCAAGCAAATAATTTCAAGGTTGTGTTTCTATGAAGCACAAGAAAAGAAATTTTTTTAATTGCTGCTGGATGTGATAATCATTGCCAGTACACAAAAATAAATAATTTAATTTTTTTGAAAAGGATTGTATTTGGTGCCTCAGTAGGGCAACAGGTGAGTGTTTACAACATAATAGTTTAGAACTGATTTTCATCCCACTCTGATTTAGCTTACAGAACACTTTAACACATGACATTTTATTTTAATGTAATTAATTATGTTTTTTTCTCCAGAATTTCTAGCACTGAATGCAGGTCCCACTGAATGAGGCAACTACATAGAAGGCAGAGCTTTTTTTGGTGGATGCTCCACAAGCTAAAACTTCATATCTTGTTATTCTAAACCTTCTCCTCTGACATATTTTGCAATATGTTTGTGGATTTGCCCTGGTGCTCTCCAATGGAGCATCCAACAAGTTAGAAAACATTCATAAATGTACTTGCACACTCCTGTGATGATGAGGGGTATTATCTCCAGTTTCTGCTTTCAGTCTTTAGTAGTAAAGATGCCAAGATGGAAAATATCAATTAAATTTGCATATATCATTAGATACTGGAGATCTATGTTTAAGGGTGGTTTTTTTTTTTTTCTTTTTACTAGTTTGAGAGAAGAACTTGCCATCTGAAGGAATTTATAACACTATTGACACTGTCTTCATAACACAGCACTAGGGAGGGATTTCTACACCCCAGTCCAACTGGTACAGATTGGCTTTCATCCTTGCATCTCTTGGTCTAACTTCTACTGGGATCCAATCGGTGTCTGTGATCACAAGATATGGTTATTACTTTTCGTGGCTTTCCAGTTCAGAAGGACCAAAATTATAAGCTGTTGCATAATAGGTAAAGAAAAATAATGTGCATGCTAGCACTACTATTAGCATGTAGTATTCAGCAGATGGTACAGAGCTCAAAGACTACGCTAGGTGGAAGTGGCCAGTTTCAGCACAGTACACATTCACACCACTTGACTGGAAACTTCCAGCAAACAATGCTGCAGACAGGTTTGCTGGGGAAGGAACTAGTTTGTTGGCTCCAAAGAGACTGAGAGAGCGAACCTGTACAAACGCAGTGTAAAGCAGCAGGGAGCCTGAACAGATACCAAAGCCAGGAGGGAGCCATGCAGATGCATCACGGGATCAGAATGTAGTCCCCATGTATTTTCCACTACAGACATCCATGTCCTGTGTCAAGTTTTCAGTTTGTAAATGAAAACTCTCCAAACCCTGTGCACACAACCTTCCCAATCAAACCCTGTGCTGCTACCCTATGCTTATTTCATAAATGGAGGTGTTTGGTGTCAGGGATTTTATTAGCATCATAAAGAACTGTGCAGCAGGTACCCCCCACATCTGTTGGGTGTTGATCACAAACCTAAACCAGGATCCAGACACACTCCTAGCTGCAACCTGTACCTCATTCACTTTACCTCTTCCAGCTTCTGCAGCAAGTACAGTACAAATGTTAGATAAAACACTTCCTTTTATTACATAGTTCTGGTTCACTGTCAACACAGGGTCAATCTTGTGCTTTGAAGAAATGCCTCCTCTGTGCAAAACAGTACAAAATCAAATCACTTTTAACAGCACCAAACTACCTGTACAAGGGACAGAGAGGAGGAGTAACAGGACTGCTTAAGCTTTTCTGCCCTTGAAAAGTAGAAAAAGAATTGGCATTGCCATGGGGTGGGGAAATAAATTAAAATGTCTAGATATTATATTTTTTCATTTCTGGCCTAAGACTCAATCTTATTTTGACAGAAGGTTTTTTAACAGTTAAATATGCTCTCTTGCTCATATCAGACTGATATAATTAATATATTCTTGTTTAAGTCCTGTGAGCAAAACCTTTCACACTCTGATGCATGTAATTAACCTCTACAGCAACATAAAAATTATCATATTAACAGCTTGAACTTTTAAAGAGATCAACAGACTTCCATTTGTGTTAATAACTGTGCTCATTGGCATAAATTTGGAAAAGGAACACTTCCCTAGATCCAAGTTTAACTACTTATTTTGTTTTACTGCTCTCCAAAATTCTAAACTCTATGGAAGACTTTGTTGCAAGCACTTGATTTTCTGAAATATTAACCAGAGTCTTATTTCATGCCCTTTTTCCAAAACCACAAAGGTACCTGCATGGTTTCAGTGATGTAAGCCTAATAGGTCAAGGAGCTGAAACGTTTAAGAGACTTTTTAAGAATAACACAGCAAGTCTTAGCAAGTTGTAGATGTAGTTTCTTCACCGAGTCCAACCATTGTTCAGACACGCTATTTACCTAGAACTGGTTATGCACAACAGGTACAAGGCAGGTATAGTAGTCTGCAAGGCAGATAAAGGCAACGGTCAACTTCTGTTGGTGAGTTTTGAGATGAGGTAGTTCAGAGGTACTGATTTGCAGAAGAGGTACTTCAGCAGTGACCACTTTAGAAAAAAGAGTACTTAAATGTTAATTCAAATTAGCTGCCCTTCACAACAACTTTAGAATTACAATACATTCATACACACCATTACTAGCTGATACCAATTCCTAATTGCATGAAAACATGAGGTAGTAAAGCAGGGAAGGAAGCATAATGCTTCTCAAAAGGGAAGAAAAGCCAACAACTTACCTCATGAATGAGGGCCACCAACATCTGCTGGAAACTGCGTCCCCGGCTGGCCAGAAACCGATTAATAGGCTTGCCATCTTTGCCCACATGGATTGGAAGGTCGTAACACAGCAACATGCCAGCTTAAAGAGGGAGGGAAGGGGAAAGGAAAAGTCAAGACCAATACCCATGTTAATAGTTCAGATGTCTGGCTTAAGTCAGTGGAGAACCCAAAGCAAAGTAAAGTAAACTTAACAAAGCAAACAATTCAAAACTAATGTAAGCATATGCAAGTGGTGTAAGACATGGTTGTTTCTTTAACATCCACAGATTGACAGAAATCTTTGGGTCAAAGCATGCATACTTGTCTGACTTCCGGAAAGTGACAGCTTACCCGCAAGGCCCGGTGTCATGCCTGGCTGTTTGTTCCTCTCATACATTTTCAACAAGAAGTTTGGAACACCTGCCATGGTCTTCCCCTGGTCTGAGCGTGCGATCCCCCCTCTCAAGGCAGAATGATACACGCCACGGGGCATGTTGGTCATCTCCTGTCTCACAAGTGATGATGCAAACTCTTCAAATGCTGGATGAAGTGCAAGAAAATGAGCAGGGAGGAAAGATACTACCAGAGCCTGATGATAAAGAGACCAAACAAATCCTGGAAAACCCAAAAATGACACTAGTGCTTCAGGGGAGATATGCTTAGATAAACCAGTAAAGACTTATTTAGATGAAAGCTCAAGGTCAAAGAACGGAGAAGTTTGTAAGTCTCTGACACCACACTTGGTGCCACTGCAACTCCAAAAGGCTCTGAGTAAGCCATGTCAGATACTAAGGCTTAGGAAGAAAAATACTCTTAACATGAGCTGTTCATCACATTCTTTGACTGCTATACTTACAACACTGGCACACGCTGACAGAAGGACAATGAAGAAATAAAGCTGATATTTACCAACAGAGTGAAAAATATTGTCTCTAAACCCAGGCTGTTCATAAAAGAGATTTAAAAGAAGTACAATGCAAAGAGGCTAGATAGAGTGAGTTCATGTATATGCAAAGAGGGGATACAGAGAGAGGTTATTACCTTGACTTCTGTTACCACAGAATTAAAATTACTAATTAAGTTCTGTGCTCTCAAGCTATGTATTTTTATAGTCTAATGAAGTTTAAAATTATACAGAAGTAATACGTTGCTCATTTGTGAAGTCAATCTGAAGCAGCCTTTACAGCCACATGTTAGAAAAAAGGGCTGTGTTTCTGGATGTACCTGCATATGTGTGCATGGTGCTTGTTACCGCATCAAAACGGAGTCCCAACATCGTACTAGCACCTTGCAAATTTGATATGTTTAGAAGTCTGCTAGTGCTTTTGGTATACAACAGAGTTTTAACGGGATTTATAACAACTACGCTTGAAACTTTGGCATACAAGTTCCCAAACCGCATGCAGTCCTGCTTTGGCTGGGAACTAGAGGACAAAGGAGACAAAAGGGCACTCGTCCTTTCTGGGTCCAAGAAATACCTATGGCAGCTTGAATTAAAATAGTTTTATACTGGAGTTTCTTCACACTTCCTATTTCCAGCAAGTTTTTGTGATTTTCAGCAATGCACTTTCCCAATTCCATGTCACAGTGGAGAGCAGTCTAAATCTGATAGGTTTTTGTAGCATGGAAGGAAGAGCACTTAGATGTAGGGATTTTATTTTTCTCCACCTGTAATGCCAATGCTCCTCCAACAAAAACCTCAGAATGGAGTTAGCAATTTTCACTTCAGTGATTCATACCAACTATAAATCTTTGTTCCCAGTGCTCAACACTGTACTCTTCCAACAAAACTAAACGTATAGATATAAAAACACTATCCACCTACTTGCTCTAGCCTTCTCTAAGAGCTTTTTTCTTTAGGGTGGCTAGAGCAACAAAGAAGAAATTCTCTGAAAGAAAATACAGCTCCTTCTCTGCTGGTAACCATCCACACCAACAGAGACACCCTAGCAGAGGTAACACCACTGTTGTCGTATTACCACACTTGCTAGTCATGTCAAAAGACTTAATAACTACAAGTCATTCAAAAGCAACTTGAGGATCTAGGCAACCCAAGGATCTAGGCTGCCAGATACAATGCAAAGTAGAAAATTTGGATAAATGTAACAAAGCACCTAGAGGTGCAGCAAATGCTTAAAGATTTAAATTATTAAAGAAGAGGGAGGGATGAAAAAAAAGCAGCAATTCACAGTTTAAGGAATCAGCAAGGAAAAGCAGGAAGGGAGATCTCACAAGCAGCAAGTTAAACTTCCTTCAGAAGTTTCAGCTGATTTGGGGTGCAGTAACAAGGACTTTGGGGGAAACTGAGAAATGGAGACCGTCACCTTAAAAAGCATCTTGATCCTTTTCTTTCTAAGCAGTAAGGAAGTTATGAATTAATCTCAATAATGTGTAGTAGCAAGATTCCAGCAAATGAGAGGGTACAGATTCAGCTCAAATAGAACAGAGACTCGCGGATCTTGGACTGTCTTGGACATAGTCTCATGAATCCAGTTCCATACCCTTTCAGTGGAGCAATTTACTCACAACTGCTCCTGCTGGCCACTGAAGCTTTTGCTCCGCTTTTCGGTATTCTGTTCAGTGTTAACTAGCAGTGTTAGAAGATGAACACATCTCTGAGGGAGAATCTACTCAGTGAATGCTTGGGTTGGGAAAGCTATTTGCATATATGTTTTTATTACCGTCTGCATATGGATCTTTTTATTCACTCTGCTCTCCCTGAAGTCCACTGTGGTCTCCCATCTTTCTGGTAAGTTACTCTATCTCAGCATCCATTACACAGCTTGAGTTTTCTGCCCAGACACGTCCCTCTCTTTCCTTGAAGTAGGTTATGTCAATCTTCCCCACAAAGCTTCCAGAACTTACAAGTTAGCATATGTGGACTCTCTAGGTGAGGGCTGCACATGATCCAGACTCCAATGCATGGAGTATTCCATTGGGGGAAAATACTAAAAAATACTACTGCTAGTACTATCTCATGGCAATGTTACAGGTTACAATCACACAAGATTCCAGGCACTCTGCAGTGAAATAACAATGCCTGAGTCCATGCACTAACTTCATAATCTTGTAACTGCATGTGAAAGACAGCATTAATGAGAATAATGAAGTGAACATTAAAAATCCCAATATTACAGGTGATTCAACTGCACAGGTGTCAGAACAGGGGCATCAACCAGAGACCATTTGTGGAAGCATACTTCAGTATCAATAAGCATCATTAAAGTGAAGCATGAAGCACAGCACTAATAATAATTTTATTCAGTAGACTTTCTACACAGCATATTTAAAATACTATTAATACTCTATAGAACGCTACAGTTTGGGGTTTGGGTTTTTTTCCTTCAGTCTGTGCTAGGTTAAAATACAGAGCTCCCTTTGAAAACACTTGCTTAGTCCTCCCTACTGGAGTTGCATTGTGATGAAACAATGGGTGCTTGAAGCAAATTATAAGAAACTGGCTTTTCCTATAGGACAGATAAAGACTTTTAAGTTCTTACAAGCATTTTTTTGCATCTTCAGGACTTCCAAACCACTGGCTTCCTAAAAATGCGCTGGGGCTTTTGTTTTCCTCTGAACTTTTACTTTGTATTTTATCCTGTATATTTGGTAAGATATTTTTGGGTATGGGGCAGACATGGAGGGACGACTGCATTTTAACAAGATACTCCACTGTAAGAAAGCCACATGTGTGTACAGTCACTGTGATTATAAATCTGCAAAGTAACTTCAAATACTGAATACATTTTACCTCCTAAAACAGAGGTTGGTGTCAGAGACAACAGCTTGATATACGAAGAACCTGGAATTAAAAGATCTGCCTCCTCCTCCTCTTCATCTTCATTCATGTCTGCCTCCTCCAGTGAATCAACTACTTTTGGTCGTGCCTGAAAGATTAAAAAAAAAAAAAAAAAAAAAAGAAAATCAGCACAAAAATTGCAAATCCTCATTACCTTTCAAGATTCCAAGTGTTCAAAAATACCAACTAAATATGACACATTTCGCATTTTGTTAATTCCATTCCTTTTCATTAAGTTGAAATGATAAAAGCTTTGCTTCTACTTGAATGAAAAGCAAAACTGGCTAATAAAATTCACACGAGTATGTAAAACCATGTCTGTAATGGTAAAATCAATTGTGATATTTGTAGACTGAGCTAGTATTACTAAAACTTCTTTTTCAGTCTGATTCTTCTCAGAGCAAAACAACATTTTATATTGGCACTTCAATATACAGAGCATCTCTGCCAACTGCTATTTTCCCACAGTAGTTTTCAGAATCTGAAAAACTGCAACACATTTACAATGTTTTCGACGAAAACATATTCACTCATTTACTAATGAGCGTAAAGTAACAGCACCAATAATACACAGCTATGTACTGCTGTGAAAGACTTAATATTGCAGCAGTGTTTAGAGATTTCCCTCACTCCATCCTGTGCTCTTCTGTGCAAAATACACTTGATTTGCAAGGTTTATGCTGAACTCTTCTCTTGGATTTATATAAAGCAAGTATGTTTTTTAATTTTATATTTGCTTATTCCAACCTTTTCATAATACCCAGTTACAACACACAAGTGGAGCCAATCTTGTAATAATGTGGTAAATAAAAACTTAAAGAAGTATTTACTATGCCATAAAGTGCCAGTGGACTACTGATGACTGCCTAATAATCTTAAAATTTCATTGAAAAAAAAAAAAACAAAAACACCAAAACCAGAAAAAAGGTGCACAGATGACCTTATCTGTTCACCTTCTTGCACACTTTCATTTTGTAGGGTTATTAAGTCAACTGATCAGACTGAAATCTCAGTGTTTAAGATCCCTCTACATACTTTAAAAGCTTTCCAACAAGTACCTCATTTCCCTTTTGGCTGCCTTTAGCAACAAAAAAGGAAAATGTTGTGCTGTAAAAGTTCAGAACAGAAACACAGGAGAAGTTTTCAGCTTAATTCAAAACACAGCACCTACTTTTCAAACTGGCTCGCCCATTTCAGGAACAAGAGCATTAAGCATGACTGTGACTGCAATCAGTACTCACAAAAGCTATTTAGTGTCAAGAATCAACTTCAAGCACTAACAGAAGAGCATAAAATGTAAATCAGGCAAGCAAAAGAAATAACCTGCTGATTTAACTAGTTAAAGAAAAACTGCCTTCTGACTGCATAGCCTTCACTCAGCCTCCATTGGTGCCATTTCCTTCTCATAAATCTTAAGTTATGCTGATCATACATAATATCCTATTTCACCAGCAGAAGCTCATAGTCCTTCTGTGAGGCTCTGATGGTTGTCTGGTAGAGATGGCATAAAGCCTTGTTTCCCTTCCAAGAGGATAAAACCCAACTCAGATGAAAGTGTCAGATGTTCTCACTACGAAGCATACAATGTTGCTACCTGTTCAGGAAGATGAAGAACCATATATTCTTCAGAGCCAAATGATGCAAGTGATTTATAGGCTGAAATCGCTACAACAGCATCCTAGAAAATGGACAAGAAGAAAAAAAAAGATCACAAGCAAAGTATATGGTATCACTACCTACTGAAAACCCCATGTACAAAGAGCTTATCCACTAATCACTGAATGCTGAAAAAGACATTAACATTCTCCTGAGGCACACTCTTAACTGCTTACTTTATACATACAATGCAAACTAGCAAGACCAATTATTTAGGCTTAATAGCAACCACTCTAATTGCCACACTCCATTACTGCTGTGAGGGTACTTTATGAAGAAACATCTAAGCTATATTTAACCTACAATACTTTGGTTCCATCAGCCCCGTGCTGATGATGGTCCAACATTCACACCAAAGAACTGACTTAGTTATCTGCAGCTTTGCCAAGAATACTTCACTAAGTCAAGGCTGAAGTCTACCAGAGGAACCAAACTAGTTTGTGTTGTAATTCTCCTTGGAAGCATCAGATGTTAGGACCATCAGGTACCACCCTTCCTGTGCCCTACATAGCTTCAAAACCGGTGTTAAAATGGTCAATGGCAAGAAGAAAAGCCTACGAGAAAATGAGACTCCTGCCCCTGATTACCTTGTTTTGACAAAAAGGTATAAAACTTAACATCCAGTTGCTAACACCATGAACTAACATTTTCAGTTGCATCACTTACCTTGTTTTGTGTGTTGTTCCAAAGGAAGCTGACGACTTGAGCTTTGAATTTCTAGAAAAGAAAACAAGACAGGCACTCAGATTTTCCTTAACTAAATAAGCAGTTGAAAGAAAGGCAGCTACCTGAAACAAACTGCTGGCACATGAACATGGACTGAGCTAGGAAAATGCAGGTGCACTGGAAGGAGCACAGGTCTTAACTGTAGACACATTCACATGTCCTCACATTCTGAGAGAGGGAAGCCTCTGATCGGCCTTGCACTGGAATTTCTCAACTATTTCCCAGGATTCATTAATGTAAATTAAAATTGTGACCCTGTATGGAAATTTTCATTATAACTCACCTGAACTGGGCCATGGGTGGAATTTGGTGATACTAAAACCAAGCAGGCACATTTATAACTTTTATACAAAGCTACGCTAAAAGAAGAGACTCACCTTAGTCGCTGAGTACATACCTCATATTCATTTGTATTCACTGTTAATGAGGGAACCAGGGCAAACAGTTCATTCAGTGCTTTTAAAATTAGGGGTCTTGTATCACAACTCAGCTTTGGTGACAGAGCCTTCCATGTAGAACGGATGCAAACAACCTGGAGGGAAAGTGGGAGTCACCATTACTAACAGCAAGCTCAACTTGAACAATATTTCTCTCCAGCACTTGCCTTCTATCTTCCTACTTGGGAATAAGAATTAATGTAGGGTTCACAAAAAGAACAAAAAAGCAAGCCCATTAAAAATTCATTTGTATTAACAGTCACACAGTACATTAATTGACATGATGCAATAATACTGCACAATACGCTACCAGATAAAGCAGCCAGTAGGAATAAATAGCAACCACTAATTGCTGGCAATACACATAAAGCTATAGATGTACCTTCACACTACTGCTCTACTTTGTTTGTTCCAATTAGCTTAAAAGAAAGCTGTGTCTGGGAGTACAATGGGATGAAAGCTACAGAAGAAGCTATGTTCCCTCCAAACCAAAATGCCCTTAATCTCTAAGCACAGCCAAATCCAACAAAATTTGCAGAAAAAAAGAATATAAAGCTGCAGGAATCTCTTAGTGGTTGGGAAAATGTCAAACTAAAATAAAGACTAATACCATGGATTCATTAGCCCTATACTAGGCAGGTCAGTTCTTACAATTTACAGTGACAGAAACCACTTCAATGAATCAGAAACTAAAAAAAAAAATCTGTCAGGAAACCACAGATCATAGTAACATCATGCTTCCAACTGTACTTAGACAAACTGTGAAACTGGTTTGAAAATCAAAGACCTTACTTTTATTCTGTTAATAACGAATTTGGGGTCTTGTAATTTGCTTTCCAAGTCCTCAGAACATAGCAAGTTCAGCCTTTAGAATCTGCCTTCCCAGTTAAATTGAAAGCAGAAAGTTAGCAGCTCAAATTGCTTCAGATACACTTTCACAATCCCAGCTATAAGGTCCCCAAGAAAGAAGGGCAAGTGTAGGGGAGTAAAAAAGAAAAAAAAAAAATTCTTTTTTCTTTCGCTTTGTTGTTTGGGTTAGGTTGGTTTGTGGTTTTTGTTTTGTTTTGTTTTGTTTTGGTTTTTTTGTGTGTGTTTTTTTTTTATTTTTATTTTGTTTCATTTTGGGGTTGGTGTTTTGTTCTGTTTTGTTTTTCCTTGAACTCAGGAAGCCAGTATTTGTTTACTGTACAAAAATATTCTGAAAATTGAAGTAATTTGTCATTACAGGTCATAAAACTAAACAGTCTGAGCACCTTTCACACTATAGCTCTAAGGCTGGTATTTATTTGCAACTTGGAAACCACTGGGAAAAACCAACAACAAACAATGAAATCCTCCAACAACAAGGTAACACTCTGCACAGAAAGAAGTCTAATCTGCTCTTTAATACCTAT